AAAGTGATCTCACAAACACGCAGGTTTGTGCCACCCATGTCCAGGGCCAAGAAGGTGCCGGTCTCATAGCCATCTGGGAATGACATTACCCAAGTTGGGTTCATGGGCTGAACTATTGTCAGTAAACGCGGCAGAGACAAGAACACATCAACAGAATTGAAAGACGCCTGCTCACAATGCTGCCACCCTCAACGCTAAGGCCTACAATAGAATCAGCGAACAGCCCCTGAAAGAAAGGTGTTCCCTCTCAACTTACCCTTGTCAAGCTCGCTGACGAAATGGTCAGTGATTTGCTTGAGCTTCTCTGGCTTGACAGTGAACTGCTCCTCGAGCTGCTTGATCTCCTGCAGGAGATCCTTGGGGACATCGGCAAAGGAACCTAGCAACAAATCATTAGCTTGTGTTTTCCTAGTCATAAATCACCAACGCAAGATAAAGGCAGACTCTTTGAATGCATGTGGTGATGGTAGGAGTGGTCTCGCATCTTGGGAGACATGGGCTTGTCTGGCAAGCGTGGGAAGGAGCGGGATGGGCTCGACATGTTGACAAAGCTGAGCGACAACTTTTTGTACTTGTCGTAATTGTGAGTGACGTTTAATGGCAAGGGTAAGCAGAGCACGAGGAGATGATAGGCTATAGCGCCTAAATCGCCTTGTTGCTTTGGGATTGTAGGGATCGTCTGAGCTTGATCTCACGATGCTCGAACAGGTTATATTATGGTATGAGCTGTGCTTGGTGCTGACAGGGCGTAATGCTGGGCACGGAACTCGAGAAGACGACGCGATGTGAAAGAAGTGTAGGATAAAGCTTGTCAAAAACAAAAAAGAGGGTAAGGCCGGGTCTGGATATTGGTGGTAGGGTGTTGTAGGGGTGGATCATAGAGCTTCCACGAATTGCGATGAAACAACTTTGGACAACACAAGCCACTCTATGTGGTTTAAGCAGCAATCCCAAAGTCGCGCAATAAGGCTTTGTGTTCCCTCAACCAGAAAGCAGCCACATCTAGGCCTTTAGCTGAAGCTGGAAGGTTTCGCAAGGCAGGAACCACCCATCCACCATTCAACCACTTGGCTAGCCAATCCCACCGGATCTTGATCTCAGACAGAGCCATCATATCATGTCGTCTAATCCAGTCTCTTATAGAAATGAAGTTCCCCTTGTTCTCTTAAACGAATTATGCAGTGTGTCCAAGATGAATCTTGGTGAAGCAAAAGCCCCGTGTGTGACGTACCTGTTCCCTTACGGGATGGAGGCTTCTTTGGACCTAAGCCGACCATTTTATTGATACAACTCTTTGATCGAGTTGAATGTATTCAAAGGCAACAAGGCTACAAGATCCAGATATATAGTTGATTGAATTGACAGCTCTTATACAAGGCAACAAGCTTGGATATAGCAGGCCGGGAATGTAGTAGATATGTCTTCGACTTAAGAGGAGTGGTGTGAGCCCGCTTTTATTGTAAGGCGGTCAGAGGTGGATACAAGAAGTAATAGCTGATGCAAATAGACCGCCGCCGCGGCAGAGCTAAAAGAGGTCTGGCAACGTCAACCTAAGTAGGTACCTAGGTAGGTATTGGGGACTAAGACAGATAGCTAAGCTAAAGCTACATCCATCCATCCATCCACCTTCCATCTAGCAGAGGGAGGGAGGCAGGTAAATGTGCGAGAATATCTGCTTCGCTGCAGGAGGGGGGTTGTCCGGCTTGTGTTCCCAACCATTTACCTCAGCAACGCTTGGCCAACAAGATACCTAGGCAGGATGGGACAGGATAGGATGAGAGCAGTTTGTTCCAGGTTGTTTGTCTTAGGTCATGGCCACACGCGCAGCTTGGACGGCGGGATCAACGGCGGCGATGTGCACACAAAATTACTCAGCTTAGCTGTCATATTGGACTGCGAGGACGCCGCAAGCCTGTCGGATCAAGTGCCATATCCCGCTTCTAACCACGAGATGATGGACTAGCCCCATCCTTCGGAAGCTCAACAAAGCAATGGTAGGTCCAATGCCAACGGTGAGAAGACAGGCAGGTGGCTTGGCCAGGGTGAAGAAGAGGGGGAGGGGTAGCTCGGGTCTCTCACTAATGGACAAACGGCTGCTGAGTGATGAAACGCTGCTTGGTGGCTCTGCCCCTCAATTGCTTGTGATTAAGGTCCTCACTAATAAGTCTTTTAGGAGCGTGCTAGATAAAATCCAGGGAGATCGTTATGGGCAATGCCAAAAGCTTCGTTTGCCCCAAACCCTCGAGGCGATTGCTGAAAAAGATTCAATGGTGCCCGTGACCTCTACTGCTGTATTAATTCCTTTTGGAAACCCCCACACCTAAAGTCTCAGATCCTGGACCTGGAGTTGGGGGCAGCAGAAAAAAGAAGCTTGGGCCAACTTGCCTATGTCATTCAGCGCAACAGCCACTAACAATTACAGGGGTCTTTGTGGCGTCGGATCGGATCATAAGCCACACCGACAGTCCAGCTCCCTCCTTGCTCCAAGCTTACGTTGCAGTTGGAGCTGTGGACACGGTGACTTGACTTTTGGGGCCGTGATGGACTGAACAACGAGCAATTCCCTGCACCACCTTCCCTTTTTTTGAGTTTCATTTTCCTAGGGAGCCAGAGCTGCTCTGAATGAGCACTCTATCCATTCTCTCTCCAAGATGAAGGCATTGACAGCTTTGTCCGCCCTGCTGTCCCTGGGCTCATTTGTTGTCGCAGCCTCAGAACCCGCTGAGGCGGCGCCAAAGGTGTCCAAGATTACCCTCCCGGCAACCTTCAAGCCTCCCCAAGTCTTTAAAAATGCCAATCTCGTCCATGTCGTCTCATTAGAGAAGAACTATGTCAAAGAGTCAATCAATGTCCTTGTAGAGAATATTGATAAGGAACCACAAGATGAATACTTCCTCCCATTCACAGCGGACCAGATGTCCCGGGTTGGAGGCATGGAGGTGAAGGACAGGAAGGATGCGACAGCAGGCCCTTTCACTGCGGAGGCAGTCGAGTTTGATCCAGAGAGGTGAGGACCCCGTTTCTGCTATTTCATGGCACGTATGCTCATTCCATTCCTGCAGTGACGTTCAATACTACCGAATCAAGCTCCCGAGCCCCCTGAAGGCAGGTGGCCAGCAGACATTGGCCATCTCCTTCTACTTCACCCGAGCTTACACACCTCGCCCTGCCCAAATTAAGCAGGAAGATCAACAGTTCCTCGCCTACTCATTCTCCGCTTACTGCCCGTCCGCGTACATTACCTCGAAACAAAAGACGGAGGTCAAATTCCCTTCCTCCAACATCCCAGACTACACCAAGATCCCAGGCAGTGGAGATGTGAAGGAATTCCCGCAGAAGCAAGGCTCGAAGCTTACATATGGCCCATTCGACGAGAAGCCCGCAGGCGCGACTTCTCCGATCGAGGTCAGGTTCGAGTTCACCAAGCCAGTCATCCACGTTGCCAATCTAGAACGAGACGTCGAGATCAGTCACTGGGGAGGCAATGTTGCGTTCGAGGAGCGATACACAATGTACCACCGTGGAGCCAACCTGTCAAGTCTCTTCAATCGAGTCAAGTGGCAGCAACAGCAGTACACAAACCCTGCGACCTACGCCCTGAAAGAGCTTCGTTTTCCTCTTCGCGTTGGTAGCGCGGACGCCTACTACTACGATGTTATTGGAAACATATCTACCTCTCGATTCCGCAGCAACAAGCGTGAGGCAGTCCTTGAGACTAAGCCCCGATACCCAGTGTTCGGTGGCTGGAAGTATCCTTTCACCATTGGCTGGAACTCAGATGCGAAGAACTTCCTCCGCAAGCTGAGCGGTGGTAGCTATATCCTGAACGTGCCGTTCCTCGAAGGACCGAAGCAGGCTGAGGGCGTAGAATATGAGCAAACTCAGCTGCGAGTCATCTTGCCGGAGGGTGCAGAGTAAGTCTTTTGTCTACCTAGATTCGTGCGACGTGAGCAGCCCCCTAACCCAAATACCCCTATAGGAACGTCAAGTTCTACACCAACATCCCCGAGTCATCCATTACCGAATCTATCGTGGAGGTTCACAAGACTTTCCTCGACACTGTTGGGCGCCCAGCCCTCATCATCAAGGCTAGGAATCTTGTAGACGACTTCCGCGACCGAGAAGTGATTGTTTCATATGACTACCCTTTGGTGGCGAGTTTGCGGAAGCCATTCATTGTCTTTACCAGCATGCTCGGTGTGTTCGTTGCGGCTTGGATTCTAGGAGGAGTGGAGATGAAGTTCCCGACCAAGAAATAGATACGAGACGACGATAGAAGGCCAGGTTTTTTTGCGGGATACCTTATTTTGTACATGTAACATCAAGTCAGGCCAGGGGCACTAAAAGCAAGTAAATCATGATTGCTTTCTGCAAGCTGCGAGTGTTCCCAGATTCGATATCGCAGGTGCATTGGTGATTGTGGAGCCTGGTGGTATAGTGGCCGGGATTATGGCCTAGAGCGATCGGAAAGATCCAGCAATTCTTTCCTCTTGGACCCTGCAACCGTGTCCGGAAGTTAGTGTAGCGAATCTTGCGCTGCACCATGACATCGCCACACACCATCGTATCGCCCTAAAAATAATCGGGCGCTGTACCCTTAGCGATATAATGAGCCGAGAGAGTTGACAGCTCAAACCTGATCACTTCAAGGAGAGTCGTATACAGTTTGTTGCCTCGCGGCTCGTGTCTCTGACTTGACCCACCGGTAGGACGGCACGGCAGTTGAAGATTTGCCATCGATGTGCCTCGTCTCCTTGCCTCGAGGTTGACTATAGTCACCGGGCGAAGAATGTGGCGACGGCAGCTGAGTGAATGTCCTGTAGTTCTCGTAGCCTTCTCCGTTTGACTCAGTCTCGTCAGTTTAGGCAGTCGATGTCCGATCATACTCATCGCTGCTAGCATGAGGCTGTGAATGAGAACTCGTCATTGTCTGGGGAGGACAAAGCCATCTAGGATGGTGGGGTTGGATGAAGACAACACTGGTCCAAACGCAGGGTCTTTCCTCCCATTCCACCCCATTTCCAGCGGCTCGCGAGAGGGTGGGATGGAGGGCAGGGGGCCGCAGGCGAGAGATTGGCGAATGACCACACCCTCCTCCTCCCCGGCTGCCCGTCTCCAGGCTGGGACCGAGTGCGCAGGGTTTGCCCAGGGTTGCCAACCTGGCAATGGTGCATGCTGGTTGCTGCATCTTAATCTGGGCTTGTTCTTCGGTGAAAGTCCTATCGGATGGGCTGCCCAGTGCCATTCCATGATAAATATGTGGCGTCCCTCTCCCGGTTGTCATCTTTCCTGGTCTTGACTCCTACCGTCCGTTTTTACTCATCATTGCTCTGCTCTTATATTGGCCCATATAGTTCTTATAAGGGTTGCAACTTAGTCACCATCACCACTTAAACACCATATAAGTCGATTTTCGGCTTCTTTGCTGTTGATCCTTTCACACCGCACAAAGCAACATCAAAACATCTTCTTTCTACATCAGTCAATATGTGCTTCGGAGCCGAGCCCCGCCGAAGCGGCAAGTACTACTACCACGAGGAGATCATTCCCGTGAGGCATCACCATCACCACCCGGCCAGAGTGAGCTACCGTAGCTCCCGGTCGCACCACTCCCACAGCCCGCGGGCCAGCGTGGCTAGCTACCGTGCTAGCGGTCCCGTCGTCTACGAGCGGTCGAGCCGAACACGATACGTCTGAACGGCTTCAGGCCACGAACATAACGGCTACTACAACTACTGCACCTACGACCACGATATTTCCTGATCGGGATCATGTTACAAACATCAAGCGGCCTACCGGCGCCTGCGGCGTTATCATCTTGCAAGATGAAGCAAGCATAGCATGGCTGCACTACCTAGAAAGCGGGAAAGACGCAACGAATTTCCTTATTTCCTTTCGGCGTAATTTGTAGTGAATTCATTTTGGCTCTACGCATTTGTATGATAAAGGCTTGGTTTAGAGCCACATTATCAGTCATCGTGTACGGTGTTACTCGAGCAGGACAAGGGAAACAGTGACTTGCTAGAAAACGGGCATAGGGCTAGTGTATGATGAAGGAAAAAATGGGCGTCGATCTTCATGGGCTATAGCTTCTTCAGTTAATATAGCAATCAAAGAAGATGGTGTGCTATCAGAAGCCATCATCAATCAAGACAATTCTAGACCAGTTGATGCATGCTTGCATCGCTGCTGCAAACGGCTTCCTTCCTCTTGACATCGCTAGTGTGTAAGTGCTCTATAGTGCCTGTTTAGCGGGGAAAGTGTATGCAGTAGCGGGGTTGGTGGGTGGGATGTGGGAAGGGCCATCGTCATCGCTCTGGTGATGTCATCAATCACCCTTTCCTCTTCGAAGCTTTCCACCTTTTTCTTCGGCCGCGCTGCGCTGCGCTGATATCATTGCGCTCCAAGCTGCGCGCTTCTAAGACATGGAGATCCCATTGTGACAGGTGGAATTTTCGAGCAATATAAGAGCTTATCACAATATGTAGCATGCATGATAGATATCTCCTCTAACATCCTTGTCCTCGCTTCGCTTTGCAGTGACTTTTGAATCTGCATCGTAGCTATCCCACTCGACTTACGCACCCGAGTTGCACCACCTGCACGAGTATACCAATTAATTGCAGCGACGACCGTGTTTTGACAGATATTACCTACTTTCCAGAACTGCGAACCCCACTTATTTGCTGCTCCAAACCTGTCCGCGTCATCCGAACTGGTCCATTCCACTCGACGACTGCAAGGCTGAAGTATATCGAAACCTCATAAGGACTTCAATACCCTTGTTCCCGAACCCTGCCTCTGTGTCTACCAGGTTTACCAAGAGACAAGGCTGATTGATCAGATACCTAAGCGATCTGATATTCGAAACAACCATACCATGTAAGTGCGGGAGACTAATACGATGCACTTCTTCTTGCGATTGCCGGTTTTGGCGATCAGTCCGACATACACCACGATCAGGCGCCTCTCTGCGGTAAAGCTGAAGAGGCTTATTGCCTACCCAATTTTACCACCTTACAATCATCGCAATTCCTAACCCTAAAAAATTAAATCTCCCAAGCCATCAAGTCAGCCACAAGATCTCTGCCACTAACATGGCTGCAGGAACCGAGCACTGTCTATTCGCTCCAACAAGAGCTCGTCCGGCAATGCCGGCGGCTCCGGCCGCAAGGCCTTCTCGTTCTCCTCGCTGCGAGGCAACATGCAGCCGGAGCTGTCACGCAAGCTGTATCGGCTGATCAAGTCGGACAACAACCTGATCAACGCGCACGAGGCCGCTGGAAAGGAGCGGGTGGCGATCGCGACACAGCTGTCCGAGTGGGGCGAGCAGACCGGCGATGAGTCCCTTAGCGACATCAGCGACAAGGTCGGCGTAGTGCTGAGCGAGCTCGGCGAGCAGGAGGACAGCTATGCCCATGCCCTCGACGAGAGCCGCGCCGTCCTCAAGCAGATTCGCAACACCGAAAAGAGCGTCCAGCCAAGCCGTGATGGCAAGGCCAAGATCGCCGACGAGATTGCCAAGCTCAAGAGCAAGGAGCCCGAGAGCGCTAGGCTCGTCGTTCTGGAGCAGGAGCTTGTCAGGGCCGAGGCGGAGAACTTGGTTGCTGAGGCTCAATTGACCAATGTTGTGAGTGAAAGAAGCATGTGTTCATGTTCAAGAACTTCTGCGCCGCTAACCCACCTCTGTAGACTCGACAGAAGCTCAAGGAGGCCTACGACGCCGAATTTCTTGCCACCATCGAGCGGGCCGAGAAGCAAATCATCCTCGCACGCCACGGCCGCCGTCTCCTCCAGCTACTAGATGACACTCCGGTTGTCCCCGGCGATACACGTCCGAGCTATGTTCATGGAGCACAGGCTCGCCAGATTCTGAACGACGCCGAAGATGACCTACGTGACTGGCGGCCAGAGGCCGATAACATCGATGCCGACTCCAGCGTCAAGTCCCCCGTGCAGAGCATCGAGGCAGGAACCACTAACGTTGGCACGGCTGCCACTACTGAAGGTGAGCTCGCTATGAGCAATGGACAGGCCGCAAAGTCTGAAAGTCTACAGTCACCGCTTGATGGCAGTACCGTTGTCAGCCCGACCAGCAGCGTGGGCGGCGGGAAAGGGGAAGCTAGGGTGGGACCGCCGTATGGCGAGTTGCCAAGTTGAAGTGGAATGGGAGAGATCCTTTTCGTCGTATTTGTGCAAAAGATTGTATTAACAGTACCTGATAGGGGGTGGTGCAACAAAAGAGGTACGGTTTCAATGGGTATGAGCGGGTTTGCATTCAGGTTCACGGGTACTACAAACAAATCAGAAAATTCAATTCGTATTACTGTTCAACTACACGTAAGGACAATCATGAAATGGAAAACAGAGTTCTGAGCCACTCAGCCACGTCATGTAGGGTATTATGAGAGAAAACTATAGATATCTTTTCATGGTAAACAACTATGAGATTGCTTGCAAATACGCAAATTTGTAATTGCGCTAGAATGGACCTAAATCCGAGAAGATGTTTGATCCTGTAGTACTGATCTTGTATTCATCGATACGTTGCCTTTTCCAAGTAGCAGGGCAAGTCGGAGCCGCGACATGATTAGATCATTGCTATGTACGCTGATCTGTGATCTCGTTTCCTTCAATGATTCCCTCATTGACAGGGGACTGACCAGGTCTCTCTTGGCCTTGAGAGCCAAGGTACCGCAAGCAACAGCCGTGACAACCAACTCCAGTTTATAGAGACATGTGGATGAAGAGAATTGACATGCCACAGTATCCGTAAACGGCAACGGGAGCTAAATAATATAAAAGAACACCTATAAGCCCTACGTATGGGCGGTTTGATACTAATTATGTCAATAATCATGGGTGGTTCAGATGAATGAGCCTGGGGTAATTGTGGGCCGGTTCTCGGCTGCAAGGATTAGGAGCTAGGTAGGTACCTCGCAGAGAAACCCTGCAGCTTTCGTCTCTCAGCAGCAGCGCATGACATTGGACCGCTTTTCAACCTTACCTCTGCCTCTCTGCAGAGAGAACCACGTCAATCCAAAGCCATAGCCATGAATATGTCGATTCAGAGGCCTGCAGCTCGCTTTGTCTGTCAGAGCTGCCGCGCTGGGCGTCCTCAATTGAGGAGATCATACGCGACTGGCACCAAACCTGACATCTACGATGTCGTCTGCGTGGGGGGTGGTCCAGCTGGATTAAGCTTGCTAACAGCTCTGCGTGAGTGAACCTTGCCCTTTTAAAGCTGTATCGAATGCTTCAGAAACGGATCATGCTGACCAGTATGTTGAACAGGCTCGAATCCTGTGACTTCGGGCCTGCGAATCGCTCTTGTGGAAGCTCAAGACCTTTCGAAAAATCGGTCCTGGAAGCTTCCTCCCGATCGCTACTCCAACAGATGCAGCTCTCTGACCCCGACATCCGCGCTTTACCTTGAGACTATTGGCGCATGGCAACACATGAAGAGGGAACGTATCCAGCCATACCAAGAGATGCAAGTCTGGGATGGTGTCTCCGACGCGCGCATTGAGTTTGATTGGGAGCCGCAAGGCTCAGGACAGACAATTGCGTACATGATCGAGAACCTCAATCTTACTTCTGGACTATTGAGCCGGCTTGACGAGTTGGGAGGTATTTCTATTTTTGATAACGCTCGGGTCGAGGACATCTCATTTGGGAAAGAAGCAGACGGCTTGGATCTATCCGAATGGCCGGTGGTACAGTTGTCAGGGGGAAAGCAGCTCTTCGCCCGTCTTCTCGTCGGCGCTGATGGCGCGAACAGTCCCGTGCGCTCTTTCGCTGGCATTGAAGCGAGGGGATGGGACTATGGACGACACGGCGTCGTTGCCAGCTTGCAGCTCGAGGGTGAAGGATGGGGCGGCGACCAGACGAAGATCGCGTATCAGCGTTTCTTGCCGACTGGTCCTGTGGCTATGCTACCTCTACCGGGCAATTACTCTACGCTCGTCTGGTCCACCACTCCGGAGAATGCTTCACGACTAAAGAGCTTGTCTACAAAGGACTTTGTCGCCATGGTCAACGCAGCCTTCCGTCTCAATACAGCCGACCTCGAGTATCTGCATACCCAGCCTTCAGGCCAAGCCGAGGAGGTATCTTGGCGCCTACAGCACTCCTCTCAGGACGCACAAGCAATACCGCAGGCAGTAGTCGATGTGCAAGAAGGGACCGTGGCTTCATTCCCGTTAAAGCTGCGTCATGCAGACACGTATATTGGCGAGCGGGTTGCTCTGGTCGGCGATGCAGCTCACACCATCCACCCCATTGCCGGTCAAGGTCTCAACCAAGGGCAGGGCGATGTTCAGAGTCTTGCGAAGACTATCGAGTATGCCGTCAGCCATGGCCAGGATCTTGGCACCACGATGTCTCTTGAGTCGTATCCCGCAGAGAGATATTCTGCAAACCATGTTGTCCTTGGAGTGTGTGATAAGCTACATAAGCTATACTCCGTGGGTAGTGGTCCGCTGGTATCGTTGAGATCCATGGGTCTTAATGCTGTGAATGCATTGAGACCTGTGAAGGACTTCCTCATGACACAAGCTGCTGGGAGTGGTAGCAAGCTATTCTAGAGCTTCGTTCTATCTCTGATTAGTTTCGGGCATGAGCCTTTACCTCTCAAATAATGGCCTGTCATGCCATCCTGTACATTATCTGTCTCGTTTAGTCACAACGAAAGGTCATATAGCAAATGTAACAATTAACTCCTCGTCAGATTTGATAAGGCCATCACGATATTTAAATTGAAGCATCCAGCTCGTCTTTTGTATTCACCAGCACAATGATTTTGAAGTATCAGTTTTTTGTATGTTCACCAGCTACCCTTGACTATGATACAAACGAAAAACATTGGTTCTTCGGAGTTTATGCTCTCCCCCCCCCTTCTTCAATGTATCCTTATTCTTACCTGTCAACCTCACCTAGTAGATTGTTAGTTTCTTCTCCTATTGCACAACTCAAAAGATTTTGACTTACCGAACACTAGATCCATAGTTCCAATAACAGCTACGGCATCTGCCAACAGATGTCCTCTCGAGATGTGATCGAAGCCAGCCAAATGAGCGAAACCAGGCGCCCGGATGTGAACTCTGTATGGCCTCTCACTTCCGTCACTTACAACATACACACCCATCTCGCCCTTTGGAGCTTCAATCGCTGAGTAGGTGTCACCTGGCGGAACAGTGTAACCCTTGGTAAACAGAAGGAAGTGGTGGATCAGAGCCTCCATGTTCTCCTTCATCGCAGCTCTTGGCGGAGGTGAGACCTTGTAGTCCTCGACTCGTACGGGGCCGGCAGGCATCTTGTTCAGGCATTGGTGGATAATTCGAAGGGATTGGCGGAACTCCTCCATACGGCAGAGGTATCGGTCGTAGCAGTCGCCGTTCACGCCGACCGGAACGTCGAAGTCTACCTGATCATATGCGTCATAAGGCTGGCTCTTGCGGATGTCCCAAGGCACACCGGAGCCTCGAAGCATGACACCTGTGAAGGAAAGATTGAGAGCCTCCGCAGCGGAGACAACACCCACACCCTTCAATCGATTGATCCAGATACGGTTGTCAGTCAACATCTCCTCGGTCTCGTCGATACGGTCGCCGAATTGTGTTGCCCATTGGTAGATATCGTCGAGGAGACCCACGGGAATGTCTTGATGAACACCACCAGGTCGGACATATGCAGCGTGCAGACGAGCACCAGATACACGTTCATAAAATTCCTGTTAGAGCATTTATATTAGAATGAATCCATTTCAAAGCATCATTACTTCGGTTTCGCGATGAGAACTCACCATAAGCTTCTCTCGTTCCTCGAAACCCCACAAGAAGGGCGTCAAAGCACCAACGTCCATGGCGTGTGACAGAACGGACATGAGATGGTTCAGAACACGGGTGATTTCTCCAAACAAAGTTCGAATCCACTTGGCACGCTCCGGAATCTCGACGTTCAGCAGCTTCTCTACGGCTAGCGCGAAACACTGCTCGTTGGTCATCATGGAGACGTAGTCGAGTCGGTCGAAGTACGGTAGGGCCTGGACATAAGTCTTGTATTCGCACAGCTTCTCGGTTCCACGGTGTAGTAGTCCCACATGGGGATCGGCACGGATGATTTCCTCGCCATTGAGCTCCAAAATCAATCGCAGCACACCGTGAGCAGCCGGATGCTGAGGACCGAAGTTGACCGTGTAATGTCGCACCTTTCGGTTCTCAACTGAGCCCTCGCGCGATTTCCGCACCGTACCCTCCTGGCCTTGCAGCTGTGTTACGCCATAGGGATCGGCCGGATGCGCAAAGTGCTCGTCAACGGGAATGAGGCGTGTCTGTTGGCCTTCGTAGGGGTCGGCGTACCTCCTGAGGCAAGTCGCTGAGAAAGCTCGAGCTGTGGATGCTGTCCGGATAGGGTTGCTAAGGGAGAGGCGTTTGGCGCTGCGGCCAGCTAACCGGTGGATGGTGGCCATTGCAATGTGCGGAGTGGAGAGGTCAAAGAGAAGAGGGGGGAAAGATGATTCCTCCCAATTGTATCCTCTTCTCCAGCATCAATGGCTGTCACTGAGCTTTGGGGTTTGATAGAGGGGATCGGGACTTGACGGCAAAAACATCCACAGAGCTCAATGACGCGGACAAAAAAGGACTAGTGCATCAACCACGTGACTGCATGAGCTGTCCATTCAGAGTTGCGCACTTACTAAACCCCCGACCACCCGACCTCGGACGCCTAGGAGAGCGGCTGGGGATGCACGGCATTCCTCATCTTAAAGAGGCAGGCACCTACTTAAATCCTACCGCGTCCGCGTCGCAATTAAACTCTCGTCTCCCATTCTCTTCTTCCTCTACCGTTCTCCTTCATATTCACCCAATACTTTTCTGACTAGAACTTTATTAACGGGCGTTGCTTACCCTTACAATAGTCTTCACATCTGATCACTACTTCTCATATTTGAGTGAAACCCAATGGGCGACAAAGTCGAACTCTGCGACCTCCACGTGGTGTCGCCTGGGAACCCTGGACTAACCGCCAGAAGCCAGCTGCAGAGACGCACTTATCCCATCATATCTGGTTACTTACCTAACCGGCATGACCGTGGCTCTAGAGTTGTGGTAAAACACATCTCCGGGGATTGACTGCAAAGGGAACGAAAGTTCCAAATCGCGGCGCCTTGACCCGCATCAGTCGAAAAGTCTCGAGATTTGTTTCAGACAATCTGGGTTGAGCAGTACGACAGATTGCGGGTGAAAAATGTGCGGTTATTGTCTCGGTGCTGCTCAGAAGATCCGATGATGATGGTCCAGAGATCCATACCCTAAGAAGGGCTAGAGAACTCAGAGACCGAGTGGCCCAGAAGTGGCTGTTATTGATGCTGGGAAAACACCCAGCATCAGTTTGACCTGAGCGAGTTCTGAGCTTTGATGTTCATTATCCTGAGGAGCCAGAAGGTCCAGAGGTCCAGAGCCCAAGAGAGGCCAGAAGATCGAGAAGACCCCGAGCCCGAAGGAGGTGGAATACTCTAGATGCCAGTAGCGCCGGGTTGTTTCAAGTATCTGTGAGCCTGTGGTGCGCTGAAGATCCTGGTTTAAAGCCTAGGATTCGAGCCCAAGGTCCAGAAGGTCGAGAAGACCGCAGCCTGAAAGAAGGCTTGTTCCCAGAGATCCAGAGTCATGTCAGGCCTGAAGATCCTGAAGATCAATTGTGCCTTTGGGGCCTTTACCAGCCCTTTGGGGGCCTTGAGAAACCGAAGATGAGATACATAATCATCCTGACGAGAAATTCCGCGGTGCCATAGATGCGCCTCTCGTGCAGACTTCGGGATGCCTCGTTGGACGAGAGCATAAAGACTATCAGTCCGGTTCCCTCCCTAGGGTTCTACATGCAAGGCTATAGGCTTCGCGACCTGCGATGACTGCCGAGCAGACACACCTCTAGCGTGAGGCGGAGAACGCGGCAGTCCACTCAGATTGGTTGGTCAAGAACAAGCAGGACTGAGGATTGAGCAGATGACCTGGGTCGCGCCCTCCGCTGCTGCAATGCCCTTCCTCTTGGCCAAACCTGGCGCCCTGCAACGGAAGATTACATTGGCTTTGGGTCAAATGGATGACCGTTTGCTGAGAATACGGGCATGCTGACTATCTTCCGGCTTGGAGCGAGAGACATAAGTGTCGTGGCCACGACCGTTCTATCCACTCTCTCCCAGCTAACCTGGGCTATTGCTCACCGGAAGACGGGAAGCGTATTCACTGCACAGAAAGTGCAGACTTCAACAGCTCGGCAGGCGGTTCTAGGCCTCTGCTCCGGATTTCTCTGAGTTGCATGGGGCTGGTTTCAGTCCCGTGTGCCCTGTGAATTCCACGACTACGTCGGATTGGAGGGGACCTAGGTCTGTAGCTGTTAATTTTGTGGATTTCACAAAACTTGGCCTATCTACATTTTGGAGCACCGGACAGTGGAAACACTGCCGGGTGAGTGACCAGTTGGGTTCAACTCCCAATTCCCGTGCTGGGTCGGCCAGCAGCGTATACTCATCCGTTGGATTGGTCCTACGAGACCAAGACCATTAAGCAAAAACTAAAATTCGCGGGAAACATAATGAAGAGCGTTTTTGATGGAAGAGAAGCGTCTGGTAGCAAGAGGTCAGAGGAATACTTATCGTAGGTCATGAGCAGTGGTTCAGAGAAGGTGAAAGGGGGAGTTGCTCCAGGTAGGTAAGTATATAATAGAAACAGTGTGTAGAAGATACTACGTATATTTTGCTGTTTTGTTCTTTGATGGATAGCCAGTTTCTGGTCCATTCATGTAAAGATGACCTGAACCCTTGAGCTGCTTCAAACTACGATAAAACAAAGAGTGATGTGTTTCTGGAGTAGTGGTACGCAAGGTCTCTTTGAAGAGTGCTTTGACCAGGCCCCGCCGGTCTCCAGTAAGGTTGCTGCGAGGCAGCTGCACGCGTCGCGGAAGGAACGCGCTGCAAGTCGGCTTCCTGCCGCCGATTGTCCCACAAAAGACTTGCTAATACAAACTTGTCAAGCGTAACTGTCAAGTACCGTACCTCACTTCTGACCTTTGATTCCTAAGTCAATAATGAGCAGGACTTCCTGTCTTTTACGGAATATGTAAGTTTGTGTACGCTAATGATCGATGCCTGCTAACGACTGTTATAGTTCTGAAGCGACAGCGTAGCGTGGCATCACCGTGTCAGATGAAAGTGTTTCTCAGATGGAATATCATGTCCATTCAATCGTAACGTCTGAATGTTATCTTCATTCTTGTTGAGATTTGCTTCCATTCTGTGAGCTGGTCGCGCATATCATCTGTGGCACTGGAAACCATTTTGTGCGTTCTGACTTGAGCGAGACTGTCCGGTGCTTCAAGTATACATACGCCGTCATGAATCGTCTTAATCGGAGGGTTGGCATGAGCGGGAGGCAAACTGTCCCGAGTCTTTTGGGAATCGTCGGGGGGCGGCCAACGAAGCCAGTCAAAGAGGTCGCAGTTGATGCTCCACCCCTGAGCGACAGCGATGAAGAGGACGACGCAATCCCTGGCGAAGATGCAGCTGAGCCTTTAGATTCGTCGGATCAAGAAGAACCGCAGAGAGCTGACATTGCAAGAACGACCTTCGGGAAGAAAGAGGACTCAAAGGGCACCCGAGTTTACTTGGAGCGGCAGATATCAGTCACTGCGAAAAATGATACCGGAAGATTCACCAGGAGATCGGACCGTCGGGCTCCCAAGGGGAAGGTTTCATATAAAGGCCATGGCGCACAGAGCTACGACGATGATATCGAGGACTCTGAAAGCGATATTGCACCGGCAGCAAAGCGTGCTAAAACCATTAAGGCTAGCGACGTGGTGGGAACTCATATGAAAGGGGATATCCTCACTAAGCCCAAGAAGAGAACGGCGCAAAGTACATATAAAAGCAAAAAGCTAGAGGTCCCGGCAAAATTTGATGTCCCTGACAGCCCACAGTCGCCAAAGAAGACGCTGAAGCTGGGAAAGGAACTATCGACCGAACGCAGTCCTGAGAGAAAGAAGCTGGTACTTCCGCGACGTGCTGCAAAGGATGTCTCGACTTCACCCCCCATGACCGCTTCACTGAAGTACTCGAAAGACGACCTGGATTCCGACACTGACTCCGGAAGGAAACGGAAGCCTCCGAGGCGTGGCAGGTTGAAGCTCGGAAGCGAATCTATTGCAGAGGAGGAGCAGTCTCAGCGCCCAGTTTTCAAGCTGCCGGGAAACTATTCATACGAAGATGCACGCGGTGGCGCTGATACTGCAAATAGGGCCAACCATGACCTTGTCAGTAGCTTGTCTAGCCCATTGTCATCGCCAGCTGGATCTGTAGAGCCCTTTTCGACACCTTCGTTATGCCCCATGTGTAATGAACCGGTTGACCCTGAATTTCTCAAATCTTTCTCTAAAGATTTAAAAATGACAATAAATCAACAAGCAAAATTCTGCAGGATGCATCAGAAGAGGTCGGCTCAAGAGGCATGGACATCGAGGGGTTACCCAGACATCGATTGGGAGAGCCTCGAGTCGCGGATCGGCGAATGGGATGAATATCTGAGGTCCCTTATTGAAGGAACGACTTCATACTTTGGGACACTCCTCAGTGAGAAAATCAAATCGGGCAAGAGCAGAACACTCTTCAGGAGCGAAGAGAGCCTTACACCGGGATATTATGGACTACGCGGTCTGAGGACAATGACAGAGCTCATTGTTGAACGCTACTCTTCACTGCTCAGGCAGAGAGCGCCCAAGGATCGCCTGATATCTGCCAGAGGCCATACTGCCTATGTACAGTCGGTTCTAGTCCCGGAGCTTACTGTTCGGTTGATACAAGATGACATGAAAGTTGACAGCGATGAAGCTCGGACGATATTGGAGAGCAGCCGGTCGATTGGCGAGCTTCTCAACGACGATAAGGGCGACCAAGTCTTTAGGACCCACGACACCACAGATGAAGAAGTCGAGGAGGAAGAGACTGCGCCCGTCAACGAGATCGATGACGATTCGGATGACTGAACACTGTTACGAGTTTCAAAGCCTTGTCACAAGGCTAGGCTACACTTGTAACCAACTTGGTAACAAGCAGAGGACTATGTAACTTGAATTTGCTCGCATAACACTGCCGAGAACAGCGACGAGCTATGTTGCAAGACGAGAGCTTGGTCCCTGGTGCACATCAATTAATATAAAATTATCCTATGAATATGAGAGACCTTGATCAAGGTAATCCTCGAAGTGGACTATAGCGATTCTCATAGTTCGGGTTTACAGTGTGGCCTCGAATGTTACTTGATAGAGCAACTTGGATTGAGGCCGCGGCAGGCCTTGGTCAAAGCTCAGTCAAGCATAACCCATGCTCCCACACCAGACACGCATGTGCCAGCTGCGACGCAGTACGCAGATCTCAAGGACAGGGTCTCCTCGAAGGGAAGAAGAAGCAACCGAGAT